GTTACGCTTGATTGAGAGCGGAGTGAATTTACGAATGAGCTTCGCCTCATGGCGCGTTGCGCTTAAATGTGCATGCGGCGTCTTCAGCGCCGGCAACAGTGTCGATGCGCGTCCCTTCCAGAAATTTTCCTTTGGCGTGAGAAAACGAAGCTTCTAGAAGTTTCGAAGGCGTCCCCCTTTTTTGTGAGTGCTGGCAGTAAATAATATTTCAAATCGTAAACTTGCTCGGACTTGCCGAGTTTTGTTTGTAAACATTTTCTCGAGTGCCCGCCTCGGTCCGCACGTGCGGATCAGCCTAGGCGCATGTGGTGGTCAGCCTTGCTGTACGCGCGGTCAGTCTAGGCGCACATGCGGTACGCCGGACTGCGTAAATGACCTTTCTTTTGTTTGAAATTCATGGGACTGCTTCAATCCCGAACACTGTCGAAGACTAATCCATTGAACTATTGAATTGGTAGTTCGAGCCATAAACTAAACCTTTAAAATCGAACAGTTCGGTTTTATAAAATGGTATGATCTCAATAGTATTTTTATCCTTATTTAATTCATTGATTAATGTGACATTTCTATTTCATTTCAATACAATTTTGATGTTATAAATAATTTGTTTTATAAAATAAAGTTGATTTTAGATATGTAAAATTTATTACAATAAATATATGTTAGATGCCTAATAGTAAATGTCTTAAAAATTAAACTTTTCAAATATAATATTGAAATTATTTTCATAAAGTATAAAAGTATCTAAAAAAAGAGAACCAAAAATTCAATAAGACGGAAACAAACTAAATTTACAATAGAATTTTGTATTCAAATATAAGTAAGTATATATATATATATATATATTATTATATAATTTTACTAGCTACTTTAAGACAATGTGAAGCAAGGTAAAAGTAAAAAATCGTCTCTATAATTAATTCAGGATATAGAATTTTTCTCAACATATAATAAAAATGATTATGAATCTTTTCCATATTGCTTTATTGGATTATTTTTTGTATTCAAACCATAAAAATTAATACAAATGTTTATGAGAATGATATATATTACCGATGTATGAGTTGAGAGAAAAATAATTTATACAACAAGTTTATAATTTTTAATATTTTCAAATGTAATATTTATACTTTTGTATCAAACCACATAATTTAAAGAAAACATTAAAAGAAAATTATTACAATATATAATATTATAAGCTTATATTATAATTAAAAAGTATTTCATTTTCATTTAAACTCATTTATCTCACGTATAATAAAAAGAGATGTTTATATTCTATAAATATAATTTCGGTTAAATGGATTGAAATATTATGTTTTTGACAAAATAATTTATTATTACTATTATCATTGTTATTATACTAGTTTCAAAATAAATTAATTGATGTTAAAAAATTTAATACGTGGTATTAATTTGTATAAATATATAAATAAAATAAATATACTACAATAATTTATTAAAGAATTATATTACAACTAGGTGTATTTGTTGAAATATTTATTGAAATTATGGTTGATAATTTTGCACTTACATAGAAACATTTATTTCAATGCCAACAGATAAAGCCGAAAATCATGATTTCTAAATAATGTCTAAATAAATTCTTAATTTTAATTTGGAGAAAAATGTATGTATATTTAAATATTTACACAATAGGCCATGTGTTAATTCGTTTTCAATAAGTTTATATACCTCTTAAGGTCCGGCATGATGCAGAAAGACTTGGGTCTTCTTCGAACCCAGTCATCTTCATCTTCTTCATGATAGGTTCCGTAATGATCATATCGTGACGGATGCCTTGAATAAGTAGAATAGGGCTGTTGATACATAATTCGTAAAGAGGATGTTTGTCTGTGAGTCCGCATTTGATAGGGGTAGGGGTAAGGTGCGTCAAAAAGATTCTCGTCACTAGGAGCGCTGCGCACACACGCAGAGAGAATAGACGTTTTAGCTGAAGAACTGCAAGGTGATGGCCCACGGCTAGTAAGGCAACCAAATATACCGCCGCCAGACTTCTCCACCGCATCTAACTGGCGATTTGTTATACAGTACTGCTCCTTAATATCTTCTCGTGAGTAAAGTGGCGTTATGCCTCGTTGAAATGATGTTCCATCATGAAGATCAACTTGTGTTGAAACGTCCACCTGCATAAGATAAATGTCATGAAGAAGGTGCCAAGTTTGAGCAAAAGAAGAGATTAGATATTATGATGGTACACATGTTTCATTATTTCGACCAACAAACTCATCAAATTTATGATATTCATTTAATCATTTAAATTTTAACAGTATATATACCACGGTAGATAATCACTTTCATTTACATTCAGTTAAAATCAATTAATACTATATTATAAAATTATTCATAAAATTAAAGTCAAATAGTATTTTATATTTTTAGATATTCATATTGTTATATAAACGTAATTTTTTATTTATTAATTTATATATTAGTATTGTAATTAAAATATTATATTCAGGGTGGTTTTTTTAATTAGAACTATTTTTTTTAATATTAAATTATAAAAATATTATTTAATTTGCTATTATTTTTATTTTTAATTCGTCTGGACTTGCTTTTGTAATTTATGAATTTCTTCAATTATTCTATAATTACACGCGTATTTTTCTAGTAATATAATTTTTATTATGGAAATATGATTTGTTTTTTTAATTAAAATATACTTAAATGATTTTATATTTATAAATTAAATATGTCAATTCATTTTATTTCTTATAATTCGTACATTAATTTTATTTCGTTGTTATAATAAATATTTATACTGGAAACGTTGAATAATTACTAAACTACTTATATAATTTCAAATGTAAAGTTCGGCGAATTTTCGCTATATATAAAATTATCAAAATATTTATGCGACTCTAGATGGTATTAACATTTCTATGTCTCACAACATACGATTTCAAAACAATCGAAAATACTAATGTGTACTTTGGTTTTTTTTACTGTAAGTGTAAGTTTTTGCTTTGTAATAACAGATACAATACTGATTCAGTATTACTTAGGTGACATTAATAGATAGTCTGGAAAATGACTGCAATGTATACCAAATGAAGTTAATAAAATTAATTGAAAAGAACTTGATCATTATGTATTCGTATATACAAAACATTAGATTGTTAAAATATTTTAAAAACAAATAACATTGTCAGTTGATATTATAAAGCATTATAATATTATTAATAAATAACATACAGCATTACATACATTTGAGAGCATTAATAAATTTATTAAATAAAACCGTGGATTATTAGAATTATATTCTAAATGTAGCATTCAGCAATGTTGTTTATTTTATACTTTGAAAAGATATCACAAAAGACTAGATTTGCATTAAGTAACACTAAAGCATAGGAAAGAAACACATATTTACAAGATTAAGTAAATAGGAAAGTGAATACAAAAGTGAATATTTATAAACATTAAAATTATGAAATATTATGTATTTCAGAATATTATATTATTTGACTTATTACATTGTCATTATTATATTACATTAACTAATGTGTATCGTTTCATTTAATAAAATAAAAATATACAATTTAAAAACAAAATTAATTACTGGAACACTGAAATAATTTTATATTTACTTTAGTAATTTCTGCTTTATTTTATATTAATTTCAGAAAAATTATACTTTAATAGTAACAACGTGATATCGCTGATAGTTTTTTTTATCGTAAAAAATTCCTATTTAGTATTATAATTTATAATTTTGACTACGGTAATAAAAATTGGAAATAAATATGTGTATATTAGTAAATATCGTAATAGTTCATTTTGTATTATAATATATCATTTTGTAAACATGAAATTTAAATATTATTAATCAAGTGAATAATTTATTATTATATGTTAGTTTTTATAAAAACAATAAAATATTAAATTATATATATATATATATATATATATATATATATATTTGGATCATTCAAAATAATTTATATAAATAATTTATATATTATAAAAATCGATTTAAAATATTTTGAAATAATGTATTTTAGTTAAGTTAGAATTGTATTTATTGTGTTTTAAATGAAACTGAAAATAAATATAATATATGAAATATGTCTCTTTACCTTTTCATATAATTAAGAATGTTTTTGTAAGATCATGAAGTAAATAAGAAAATACAATAATATAGTATCATGTATCTAAGATCGATCAGATACTGATTTTTATATACTTCCCTTTAAGTTAAGTTTCTATATAGAAAAGCCATCTATATAATAATTTCGTATATTCTATATATAATATTCGAGCATTATTAAGAATATTCATATTTAAATGCGAACGAACCAATATATAAAAAATTAAAAATGTGTTACGAGTGATTTAAGAAATATTTTTTAATATACTTTTCTTAAATTATGCATTTTCAATATATTGCTGATATAATATATTTCAATGAAAATACTGCATTATAACTAAAAATGCTTAATAATTGTTGATTGAATTATATACCAATATTAACAAATAAAACTAATTAATCTAATGAATTGTTTAATACATGATCTAGATTAATCTAACCTAGCAAACACTGTTATATCATGTGTGAAAGTAAAAGATATTTCTGTATCTTTTACAATCTATTATTTTCGTTTTTACGTTTCTGTATGATAATGAAAAAGTTTAAAGTGTAAAAAATGACTTGATGCTGGCATTCTATTACGTAGATCAGAGCTACGTAGATAGTACTTCCGTACTATCACTGACCTGTGTGAGACGAAGTTCTGCGGCGGAAGGGCTAATGTTGTCTCCATCAAGTCGCTGCAATTGGTATGAGGCGCCTGGCAGACCTCGCGGATCCATTTGGAACTCGGCAGTTTTTGGTGGGCCCTCGGGCATGATGTAAAAGAAAAGTCGACCCGGGTGGCCGCACCCCGAGTATAGCTGTCGTTCGTGCAGCAATAATCTAACTTCAGCGAGCCCCCCACTATTGATCTTTGCGGGAGGTCGTCGCCGTCGGCAGACGGGCGCCAAGTCCACGGCTCTGGCTAGCTGCTAAGGGTATCCATTACTCACAATCTCAACTTGAATGAAGTTAATCCTGGTGTTGCTGTCTGATACCAACGTCGAAGCTAACTGCAATAGCAAGTACTCGCACGATTAGATAGATAGAGAGAGAGAGAGACATACAGGCAAACAATAGAGAGAGAGAGACAGAGAGAGAGCGGATGAGAGAGAGACATACAGACAAACAGATAAAGAAAGAAAGAGAGAAAGAGAGAGGGCGTAATAACTACAAGTAGACAAGAGTGGAAGTAAGAGCAAGAGTAATAAAGAGAAAATGTATGCATTTGAACGCGGTGATGAGTGCATGCGTGGGGGAACAATAGGTGGAGAGCGCACGTCCAAAAAGCTGCATCCTAAAGCAAAGACGCCTTATGGAAAGATGATATCTCTACGGCGCGTGCGCAAGATCCTCTGATAGTGCTGCTGGACCAAAACTGTCTCATTTGAGGATCGATAAGGTGTGGAAAGTCTCGCTTGCCGACAGATGAACACTGAGAGATGTTGAATATGATCGCAGTCGAGGTTAGCGGGCTCCTTTTAACGAGAGAAGACAGCATCGTGCTTTCTTCTGATTTTTTACCTTCTTTTCATTTATTTTAACATATAAATTGTCCCATTTATACTCTCTAATACTTGCCATAAACGAACATTTAAAAACATTCTTTTGTATAAATAAAAAAGATTTTTATAATGTGATATTACTTAGCCATGGTACCTGCATACATAGTAAAATTTAATTATTATGATTGTAAATTTATTATCATAATACAATTCACTTTAATTTATTAATATACTTGATATAATAAAGTAAATAAATTTTATTATGTACTTAAATCATTATTATAAATTCAAATTTAGCAAATCCCAAATCTATACATTAGATTAAATTTCACTATATACAATAATGTAAAAGAAACAAATATTTCAATGTTTTTTTAAAAATTAACACATATATTTTATCTGTTTCAATATTCTTGAAATATTTCGATCTTGTCTTAAATTATTTAAAGCAATTATTATTTTTTATTAATTCAAACCATTAATTTAAACCAATAATTATAGTTTACATTTAATAGAAAATTATTATTACTATTTTGAAGTACTTAATAAAAATATTTACTGTAAGATTTATTTGATACTCTACGAAATAAAAATGTTATTCAGCACGATTAGACATAAGAAAATACTTAAAATAATTTTTAATCGTCAAAAAATATAATTAAATACATCAATATAATTAAATAGGAAATACAAAAAATTAATATTATTAATTTAATTATTTTCAGATTTAAACATTGTTCGAAAAGCCCGTATATCCGACTCAAAGGACCAAAAGTTCGAAAATCCGGCTCGAAGGGCCAAATGTTCGAAAGTTTAGTCTGTGGCTCGAACTACCAAATTCAATAGTTCAGTTTATTAATCTCTTACCGTAGCGATGCTTAAGAATGGGAACATGTGAAAGGGCTGTAAATATGAACAGTGTGTAATTTCTTTTAAAACATCATTCATTCTATTTTATTAACAATTACAATATCGCAGTTCTACTTTCACTTCTTGTGAAAGAGAGGGGATTATTCTATTACAATGACATGGTTGCTTCTTAGTAATGGTGGCCATGTCGTTGATGATGTTATGAGGATCAGCAATGGATTTTAAATATTCCCTGAAAGGAGAATATGACTTATTGGGTTCTATGCTGACGTTGTAAAGATCAGCAAGAACAGTCGACCATGCTCAGTAAGCATATGCAAAAGTAATATTTTTGTAGTGTAAAGTGTAATAAATAAATAAAATGAAATAAAATATTCCAGCAAATTGACAAAACTCAAACAGTTTGGAAACATCCGATCATATAAATTTACCAATAAGTTTATTTCATTACTGCATCAGATCTTTATCATTCAATTACAGTAAAAACTAAATTATATTCATCATCAATTATATTAAATATAATATTTATAATAATATTTATAAATTATTAATTATTATAATTTATAAAAAAATTGACTCAATATTGTTTACAAATACTTTAAAAATATCTATTTTTAAAAAGAAAAACAAAGAATCTTTCAATATAAACTGTTATGTGTAGTTTCATATTTCAGATATAAGCATGTTAATAGCTCATAAATTAATTGAATTTATTTATACAATTGTATGTATTATAGGTCTTATCGTTTATATATGTCATTTCTCAGTGTAGATATATATAGACTTGGTTAGAAAGGAAGAGTCTTTTTGATTTTATTATCTTAATAGTAATGTTATAAGTTGCATTGAACATCCTAATATGTATAGAAACATATATTCCTAATCCTAATATTTTAATTTTGATAATCCAACAACCACACAGGATATATGTTTAACTATTAGTGATATTTTTTACATTCTATCGCAATAAAAATATTTATAAAACTGTAATATATTTAATATATCCATTGACAAATAAATATCACAATATAAATGCAATTCTTGAACATTAACAGAGTAAATATTAAAACAGAATTAATACTCGTGTAGGCTATATTTTATTTCAAGGTATTGCTGATATTATGAAGTTATAATTAAGCTGAATACTTACTAAAAGTAGCTTTATGCCTGTAATATTCCTTGAATAATTTGATTATTATTTGTTCGGAAACTAATCCCACAATTTGACTCGTCAGCCAAACGTGCAATAATTAACTTAGAACAAAAAACCCACTAGATGTTGTGTGGGATTGCCGGGCAAGTAAAGGGTGAATGCACTGATTAATAATTAACACATGTCTTTATTATTTCTGTTGATTTGAATTAATTTACAAAAGGGTGAATTACAGACGAACTTTATATTTCTTGATAATCTTGTGGTGTTGAAATATATTTACTATGAATGAAGCAGGTTATAATCTATTGAATATTATCGCTAAGAAGTTATCATGATTGTAGTGCTCTGATCGAACAATATTATTACAATATTATTATCTTAACACGTGTGTAGTTGCCTCTAAATATCGGTCGTAAGAGAGCCGAGATGGAGGTTATGCGAAGCTGTGCGCCATCTGTGGCGGGAACAACTTGTAGTTGGAGGGATTGAGAAGCCAATGTGGCGTTTATAGCTGGTCTTGTTCAAGAGTATGTCCGGGAAGCTTCCGAAGTTGGACTTTATCCGTCCGTCTTCTACATAAGCCGAGAAATCAAGAATGAGTACTAGCTGTAAGGACTTACTTGCAGTGTATCGTGATTTTCCAGTCTCTCTTCGATGGCTTGTTATTACGTTCCCTTGCAATGTTGCAACCCTTCAGTTCTTCCTTGTCTCCAAGTGAGACCACAAGTGGTCAGGTCCCACGCAATCCAGTCTTGATGAGATCAATTCAACTGTACACTAATTCACAATAGTGGAAAGAACTTATTATTAAAACTCAGCTAGCTAAACGACTCATCTCTCCGGTCCTCCTCCGTGAGAGTTGGTCGTGACTTATCCTTCACTGTAAGAAGTATTTGGAAAGAGTAAGTGAGGGTACATTACGTAGTCCCTTCTTAAAATGATTCACTGATCCCGCTCCACTTGGGATCCCTTCTTCCTTTATTAATTAACCAATCAGTGGTTGATCTTGGGTCGCACAATAGATTATGCACGCCTTCATTTCCACTTCCTTCCGGGCTCAGTTCCGAATTTGCTAATTGGGAAAGTGTCGGAAGGTGGCGAGCCTTTTCCATTGGTCACCTCTCTTTGGTTGCCTCATCCCTCTCTGGGACTTGGCTAGAAGAAGGGTCCGCTTGGGCGTGGTCAATTTTCCAATACGATCGACCAGATGTGGCATAGCCAAGAACAATGCAAGCATTGTCTTAAAGGCCGAGTGCGCACGTATGGTCATTGCATGTGTAGTACGTACGGGTTTTCGTGCTTTGGGTTGCAGTAAATGTTTGTACTCAATGCTTTACGCATATCTGATATTCGTTCTGAATCTATTTTGGGGTTCTCCCGGCAGTAAACCCATTAGGTTCTACTGCACTAGGAGTATGAGCACGTTCCGCTAGAGTTTTCCAGATGTTTTATGACACCAGTACAAATAATTATGAGCAGGAAAGTATTGAAGTCTTAAATACAATTTTCATGACATTACTTGTCAGATATTTTATAGCCTTACTAAACGGAGTTTCTTATTCTCAAACATTATTTTTAAATAATGATTACATTAGATAATTAAGTGTTCGGGATTGATGCAGTCCCATGAATTTCAAACAAAAGAAAGGTCATACGCACTGTCCAGCGTACAGCATGTGCGCCTAGACTGGCACGTACGTGCGGACCGAGACGCGCACTCGAGCGAATGTTTACAAACAAACTCGGCAAGTCCGAGCAAGTTTATGACCCGAAATATAATATACTATAAGATCACCCAAGGGTGATCCAATTACTGGTGATTGATACTGATGATGATCCAATACAAGGTGATCCAACACCCAATTACTCCTACTTTTCTCTTCTTTACCGCCATGGAACGGTCGGTATTTTCAGCAGAGCCACCACAGAACGATCAAGCCTGCGGTTCGTGCACGTATTCAAAGGGCTCATTTGTAATATCACTTCGCGCTCATTCAAGAGTATCTGCCGCTCAGTGTTTTGTATAATGTGAAGACGACGCGTGGCCATATTTTCGGCAGCATAGTTAAGAATACACGCGTGCATAAGAACAAGAAATCGGCAGATTAGATAGTGATTACAGTGAAGCCAATGGAATAGTGATCAAAGGGGACATCAATTACGCAGCAATAATATACCTTGCCTGCAGTTTACAAGATATATCTTTTTATATATAAATAAATTAGTTAGTCACACCTCGCATACAACAAGTCGGACACGCTTACGCTA